AATCACTTCCATATGCTTTTGAGTTGAAAATTTTTCTCCCCCTTCCTCCCTCCCACCCTCCCCAAGACAGCGCACAATCTGATATAGGCTTTACATTTACATACCCATGAAACATATTTTCACATTAGTGAAGTTGTAAGTAAAAATTAAAACCAATAGGAGGAACCATCAGAAAGATGAAACAAAGCTCAACAGAAGGTAAAAATAAGTGATAGCGATTCAACTTCCATAGTTCTTTCTTTGGATGTGGACAGCATTTTCCATCCTGAGACCTCTGGAGATGTCTTAGATCCTCGTAATTCTGAGAAGAGTTCAGTTTAACAATATTAGTCATCGAATAATGTGGCTGTTATTGTGTACAGAGTCCTCTTGGTTCTGCTTACTTCACTCAGCATCAGACCATATAAGTCTTTCCAGGTTTTTCTGAAGTCAGCCTGTTCATCATTTCTTACAGCACAATAGTATTCCACTACATTCATATACCACAACTTGCTCAGCCATTCCCCAATTGATGGGCATCCTCTCAATTTCCAATTCTTTGCCACCAGAAAAAGAGCTGCTATGACTATTTTTGTATATGTGGGTCCTTTTCCCATTTGTTTGATCTCTTTGTAAACCCCTCATTTTTTAAAAACAAATTAAATCATTTAATCTCCATGTAAGTTTATATCTTTTACCCCCCAGTGGCCCTTATTTTTTCACATATGTTTATTTTATTTTTAATTAGACACAAATAGGTATATAGATGTAAAATTATTCTATACAACTTCTATTTATCAGACAGATGCAGATAGCATCTTCATATGTCCTTTATAGTTCATTTGGATATTTATAATAGTCAAAATGGCTTAATTGATAAATGCCATTATAATTAGGTGCTATACTGTGTGGAAAAGCTAAGTAAAAGCTAGCAAAGTTCAGAGAAGGAGTTTGATAGGTAAAGGCAAGAGTGTTCAGGACACAAGTTAAGAAGGTGTAAGGTTTTTTTTCATTTTTATTAATATCTTTTTTCTGTGAATCATTTACATTTCCAATATAACATCCCACCCCAAGAATCCCTTGTAAAAAAAGAATCAAAAGGGAGAGAGAGAAAAAGGAGAGGAGAGAGGAGAGAGAGAGAGAGAGAGAGAGAGAGAGAGAGAGAGAGAGAGAGAGAGAGAGAGAGAGAGAGATTGAGATTCAGTAAAATTTACCTATACATCAACCACTTCATTGCATGAAGAGTTCCATGGGCATAATCTCCTGTCTCTAGGGAAGTGCTTCCTTATAACTCTTCTCTGGGGCCATTTATTTTAACCAGGATTTTTACTGTAATTTAGCATTCAGTTTGTATAGTTCTGTCACTGTGTGCTGGGTGTGGAGTCAGGCAAAACTGGAGTACAAATCTGGCCTAGGACACTTAATAGTGTGACCTAGGCAAGTCACAACCGATTTGCCTCGGTTTCCTCACATGTAAAATGGAGATAATAACAGCACCTACTTCCCAGGGTTGTAATGAGGATCAAAAGAGATAATATTCGTAAAGTACAGTACCTAGCACATAATAAGTACTATGCAAATACAAGCTATTGTTACTATTACTATTGTTGTTATTGTCATATATAGTGTTTTCCTCATTCTTATTTAATTTTGTATCAGCTCATAAAAGTATTTCCAAGTTGGTCTGTATTTTCATTGCACTCATTTGCTATAGCATAGTAATATTCTATTAGATTTGTGAAGCATCTTCTTTCTTTCCAGTTCTTTGCTACTGTATCCCTGAGGATTCCTATTCCAACTCCCATTCTCATAGGGTGCCAGACAGGGCTGTACTGGAGCCAGCTCTACCTGGTTTGCCAAAGCTTATTATTAATTTTTTTGTGCGAGCATTTACACCTCAGAAATTGGCAATCACTACAAATCAGGGCTTGATTTATTATTTTATTGATTTCTAGATTTTAAAAAGTGTTAGTAATGCAGAATAAATTTAAACGTGTTTGCCTACATTTTTTTTCCTGAGAGCCTGAATGTTAAACATTTACTAGCACATCCCTGAATTGGTTTATAAACATTGCTTGAGCACTGCAGGATAGCAGCAGATGGCTCAGGAAGTGAAATTATCACCAGCTTGGAGACCTGGTGACTGGAGACTAGTGATAATAATAACAATAATAGGCACATGTATCACTTCAAGATTTGAAAAGTACTTTACATTCATTATCTCATTTGACCCTCACAATACTCTTGGTGCCAGAGAATACTATATGCCCTGCTCAGAATTCTAGGGGTATACCAAAGGAATAAGGAAGGCTTCCCCCAAAATGACCAACTGAGAATAATTCTAGTCAAATAGTCTTAAGCAGATTTTTGAAACAAGTATTTACTAAGGAGAAAGGGTAAGAACAGTTGGCAGAAACCTCCCCTCTAAAAAGCCTGTGACCCACTGTTCCACAAGTACACAGAGTGCAGAAAAAGTGGGCTCAGGCTTGGAGAACACACGTGGCAAAGGTGTATGTCACAGCTCCTGGCTAATAGAAGTCTTCTTCTGCCCCTCATAAAGTGCTCCAGAAGGTTCCCTTAGGCACAGGATGGTTTCTTTGCTGGGATCCTTGTACAACTTGTTGCTGGTCCTTCTTGAAGAGGAGCAATGACATCACAAAGATAATGACTTGCCCTTAAATTGGATTTAAGTGAGGTAGAGCTGCACAAAGTCATCAACTTCACTATCTCCTCCAGACTCATTGGAGTCCAGTGACAAGACCTTGGCCTTTTTAAATTAAGGTCTTTCCCAGATGTCAGTTTAGGTCCAGTCTATTCTTGGCTCCCAAAGCAGGAGCCAGATCAACTGACTCAGAAATGATATAAGGACACAATGAGAACTCAGAAAGTCCAACATACTCTGGACTTTTTGAAATTCACACATTCATATTCCAACTAAAGAGAAGGTGACCAAGGCAAAGGCAGGAGCCAAAGTTCCTCCTTTCCTCCAAAGAAATTGTTTTTTGTTTTTAGGCAATTGGGGTTAAATGACTTGCCCAGGGTCACACAGCTAGTAAGTGTCAAGTGTTTGGTCTGAGGCTAGATTTGAACTCAGGTCCTCCTGACTTCAGGGCTGGTGCTCTATCCACTGCACTACCTAGCTGCCCCCAAAGAAATTATTTTTTACTGGACCACTAGCCATTTGCTAGAGTTCTCCCCCTCCAGTCTCTTGATGCTTTTATATAGGACCCAGAAGGTGTGGGAAAATCTGTTAACCAACTGGAAGAGACTGACAATCGTTTCATTCAATGGCTTTAAAGACTTCATACTTAGTCTATAGCCTATGATTGAGATTGAATAATCTACTGGGCATCTTGTCACTTAAAGTGGAATGGGTCAACTTGATTCAATTCACTGATTAAATCATTTCATTTTTACCATACTAGGAAAAGTGCTACTATAAATATTTTCATACATATGTGACCTCCTTGTGGTGTCTGTCTAGCAGTGGGATTTCTGGATCAGAGGATATTGAGGTTTTAATCACTTTCTTAGAATAGTTCAGAAATTTTGTTGAACTGTAGCCAATATTTTACCTTATAGTATTTATGAGAGGCAATGAGTAGCAAGGCTAGGAAACAGGCCTCAGAGACAGAAAGTTTGTTTCAAGTTCTGCTTGTGACATGCACCAGCCATATGAACATGGGCTAATCATGGTGCCCCGGTGACTTCTTAAATCGAAGAGCAATTATTGATTGGCAGTGATAAAAGCAGTTGCCTCTATTAATGAAATCACACTTTGGAACCCTCTCTTCCCTTCATAACCTCAACGTTTACAATCATTTACCAATCTCTAATTTCTTGTTAAGAATGACACGACTGTCATTGGGTGAGACTTTTCTCCTCCACTTTCTCTCCTAATTTGCCTGTAGAAAAAAGAATTGATACACCTTTGTGTCACCAGGCAAAAATGGGCCAGATTTCACAAGGTGACACTGAAATTTTTTGAACAATAATACAAAATGATTACTGTGATTTGGTGCCTATCCTTCCACTCCTCTTTAACTGTTTTCTTTGCCCAACAGGTCATAAGCTTTGGGTGTGATTCATACTTAAAAAAATGATTTTGATTCCCAGATCTCCCCTCCAATCTATTTTCCTTTTAAGAAAAGTGGATTAGAACCAAAAGTTACATTCTCCGAGTAACGAGGTTTGTTGAATTACTTAAAATAGTTAAATTAAAATAGCATCCTTTCTCATTTGAGCCACTTAACCCCCAAATTGCCTTTTGAAACCCAAAACTTCCTCCCATTTGCTTGCACTGCCCCTAGGAAAGGACTTACTTTTTTTTTTTTTAATTTTCTGCATTAGAAGTGACTGAGGGCTTGTATTTCCCTCCCCTGCCGGCAACGTGTGGAGTGAGGGCAGCCAACGTGGGCTAAATTAGGTTTGTTATAATGGGCTTTTACCTATAGGCAGGTCTCATCTTGTTTTTGAGTAACTTTAGGCAAAGTTGAGAATCGGAACAAGGCTTTTCCCCCGCTCCATACTTGGTCATATTCCAGGTCTTTCCGGAGTAATGTCAGGTTCCGTTCCCTAGCCTGGAAAAAGAGTCTTGCTCAACACGGTTGTTCCGCCTGGCAAAAGAGCGTACGGTCTCATACTTCTTTAAGAGAGAAACTGAGATGATGTTATGTAATTAAATTTCGTGTTCTGAAAGTCCGCTATGGAGCGTCTAATCATGAAGACTTCCAGTGTTCTCCGTGTGTGTGTGTGTGTGTGTGTGTGTGTGTGCGTGTGTGTGATCGTCAATTCTTCCTGGTCCTGATTTTGCATTTCCAATGAAAGTGAATTGACAAAGCGTAGAAGTGGTCTAAAGAGAAAAACAAAGCAGCAAGCCTACCCTGAGAGTGCCAAAGCTAATCAATATTCCAGAAACCCTGGGGTTCCCTCCACCGTCTCCCCTCCTCTTCTGCAGTGTTTTCATCCTCCCCCACCCCCCAGCCCGGATCCCAGTCTCCTCCCCTTTTCTTAAGTTGCCCTGATAGTAAGTTGCTGTTTCAGAGCAGAGCACATGCAGAGTGTCAGCGCTAGCCTGGCCCTCTCTCCCTGCGTTTTGTTAGCAGCCGCTGTACCTGCTGGGGGATTTTATCTTGTCCCTTGCCTGCTGGGGCTTCAAACCACTGCGGAATCTGAAAAGGTAAGTTTAATACCTATAACTCTTGCCCGGTTTCGTTTTTCATCCTCTGGCTTTGCCAAAGTGTTGTTTTCCGGGGCAAAGGAGTTGGGAGAGTGAGCTAGCTAGCCATTTTGGTAGATAAACTGCATGCTTAGTATTTGAACGTCGTTCCAATCGCTTATTCAGTGAGATTCCAATCGCCTCTCCTAGTCTGGATTTATCATTCAGGCCAGGTTGGTGGCAGATTGTGGCCAAAGATGTGGTAAGGTAATCGAGATGAAATGATCAGTTGTAAAATTGCGAATGAGATTCTTGCTAAGTAAAAAAAAAAAAAAAACTGTTCTCTTTCTTCTCCTCCTCACCCCACCCCCGAGCCACGCGTTTATCTGGTACTTTTAAACGTGATCGGGCATACTCATCCTTCTCCCCCTCTCCCAATATACTCACACCTGCAATCGTATTTGAAATTCCAAACTGCTGGACAGCTGGCTTTTCCATACTCTTTTTTAGCTTCTGAAGAATCCCTCAATTTACATCCCTCTAACTATATGCAGTATCATCCTCAGACATCCACAGATGCTTCCAATTCTGATTTTGATTCATCCTGGCAAGGATCTGCAATGAATTGGAAATATCATAGGGCAGTGACATGGAGCCCTGGACTATCAGAATAACTGACTTCCACCTAGGAAAGAGATTTTTGTTTAATTTCTTTTTTGAATGATCAGTGCATGAATGGACCTAGAAACTATGATAATGTTTGGAATGAAAATTAGATTAACCTCCTCATAAAGTCCAAATAACAAAGAAGGGCATTTGGAAAGCCCCAAAACTAAGCAAATCAATGATAAAATGTCCATATCGGTGTATTTTTATGCAATCAGAGACAAATGCTACTTTCTAGTTTGTTGTTATAATAAGTGAAAATAAATTCTAGCCACTGATACTTTACATATGTGCTCAGAGTACTTCACACGTTTTTTTTTTTATGGAAAAAATAGTTACCCATATAAAACTGCCAAATCTATTTCCCTGGTATACCATGTATTCGATAAAGTGACCTCTCTTTCTCTCTCTCTCTCTCTCTCTCTCTCTCTCTCTCTCTCTCTCTCTCTCTCTCTCTCTCTCCATACTTATTATTGAAATAAATATTCTAACTTTTTCTCAATAAAAAAGTAAGTCAAAGTACTTACTCTATGTAGCAGAAAAACCATGACTTCTGTATATTTATATCTTGTGGCATTTTATATTGAACTACATACATTTGTAGTATGTGTACAAAATAAGTCTTCAAACATTTATCAAGCACCTCTCTTATACCATGGCAGGATAAGAAAAAAATAGACAAAAAAACCCAGTGCCTGCCAGCATCATCTAGATTTTCACACATGCACTCAAGCAAAATATGTACAGTCTATTCTTGAAGCCTGGCACCAGAGTACTGCTGCTTCTTAGCACTAGGTTCTCTCTCCCACTCCAGACAATGTTGTGCAACGTTATTTACAGACCGGCCAATAGTAGCTCTGATTGATCATTCCTGGAGTGTATAACAGAGTTCTGTGCCTCTTGTGTTCCAGCTGTGCTGTCTGGTACTAAGGAAGAGAAGCACCTTGGGTTTCTCTGGAGAGGAGATTTGGCAGTTCTGATAAACGTTCATAGAAGACAGCACTCCCTGAAGCTCGATGACCAAAAGTAATGGAGAAGAGCCCCGGCTGGGGGGTAGAATGGAGCGGTTCCAGCAAGGAGTCCGAAAACGGACACTCTTGGCTAAGAAGAAAGTACAGAGCATCACAAAGGAGGATGTTAAAAGTTATCTATTTCGGAATGCCTTTGTTCTCCTCACTGTCACCGCTGTCATTGTGGGTAAGTCATTGGATCCCAGAAGTGTATCTTGTTTCTCTAGGGCATCTGGCAGCCCAGGGAAGTTATCAGATGGGCTAACTGTGAGTGATTAGAAGGCTATCTCCAGTTTTCTTCTAGATTTGCAGCCATTTGTAACAGGACAGTTTGTTGGCCTGTTTGGGGTGATATATGTGCACATGTGGGAATCTGGTAGAAACATCATTAGATGTTTTACAAAGCCCTAGTTCATATAGAGAAAAGAAAATATTTCAGAGGCAAGTGAGTGAAATATGGAAAAGTGCTATATAAACAATAAAAAGCTATGCAAGTGTACAGAATTGTTATCATCATTATGACTATTCAAAATGAAACTATAACTATTAGACAGGAGCGACTTTTTAAAAAAGCAAACTGGATTCTGCCAAAATGCAATTACCTTAAGCTGTCACTTCCACTTAAAGAACATGTGCAATTAGCCTGTCAAAAAGGAGAGATACAGTTCTCTGATGTTAATTATAGGGTCATTCGTTGCTGAGCAAAAGCCAGATATCAAAGCGGAGCACCCAAAGGGCTGCAAAAGCTGAATGGAAAAAATGCTTTTATTTTGTTGAATGCTTTCCTTTGCACACAGAGCTCTTTCATTCTCATCTTTACAAAACTTGCTAGAACCCTTTCTATATTTCTAAACTTATGGAAACTTTTTTTAGGTATTATCAATTCTGCATTGTTGGAAGCATGTGGATACTAATTTGTATTAATGAAATGTTATCATTTTGCTTGACTGAAGTTCTACAAAGTTTTCTTTTGTAACTTCTAAGAGGCGTTAAGATCCTACTCAAAAAGGCACTATCATATTTTCGTATTTAGCATTTTTACTAGACCAAAATATAACCTTTAAATTAGCTGCTGTTTAAAAAAGAAATGTCCCAATTTTCAATAACTTCCCACCAAATAACAATAAATGAAATTTTGCTAAAATATCTCTATGAAGAACTTCATCACAGTTATGAACACAGGTTTAGCATTTGCCATGATTTTAGGCCTATAGATAATTAATAACTGGTCTTCTATAAATTGGTGAAATCCAACAGATCACAAACACAAATAAGAATACCTACCAAAAAACAATACAAAACCAAGTTGCTCTGGTTATAAAATGAAATCTCATGAAAGTCATTAGGCATCACAAAAATTTGAGCAAATAGACTTTGACAGGACTGGCTGTGGTGATAATTCCTAATTGTTGGATCGGTTGGTTGGTTGATCATAGGATTATAGATTTAGAGCCGGAAGGGTCCTTAGAAGGTATCAGGTCCAGCCCTTTCATTTTACAGATGAGGAAACTGCAGTCTAGAGTTGTTAAGTGACAACTAAATTAATGTCTAAAGTGCTATTCAGACTCAGGTCTTGAAGCCAGGTCCAAGTCCATGGTTCTATCAATTATGGCATACATTCATGAGTTGGGAGCTAGTCAAAGAAGAGATATACATATTGGACCAGGGAATTGATAATGGGATCATAAAACTTTCCTTGGTAGCTTACTACATTAAAAGGAAGAAGAATCTGAAGATATCTATTTCATAGATATCTAATGGATTATTTGAAATGTGATATTACTCTTTGTTACAAATTCCAATTTTAAATAGTTTAAACAATGCTTGAGATCTTCTGAGAAATGTTAGTGAGAAGAAAAGAGAAGGGAAGAGAATAGAAGAGGAGAAGAGAGGAGAGGAGAGGAGAGGAGAGGAGAGGAGAGGAGAGGAGAGGAGAGAGAGGAGAGGAGAGGAGAGGAGAGGAGAGGAGAGGAGAGGAGGGAAGGAAGAGAAGACTTTTCTAGGCTTCTTAATACAGTCCCATTGCCAATGCTGGATTTATATAGTACCACCCCCACCCCACCCCCCAGCTAAAACTTGTACAGTGGATCAGTCAATAACTATTATTTTTCTAAGTAGAGACTCTGCCACCTCTCTAGTAGTAAAGTCACTAAAGTCCTTTGTGTATATTGTATAATAATTCAAGACCACTAGTTTTTCTTGTTGGCCATTTTCTCTTAGGAAAGAAGTGGAGAAACCCATTAAAAATGGAGTCATCAGAGGGGTATTGTTTGTAGAATAGACTTGTTTGTGGGAAAGCCTGAATGAAGAGAAGTGATGAGAAGTCCAAAGAGAGGCAGAATACTGTAGAAGACTCCCAAGAAGTCAGTGAAAAGAACTAAGATCACTAACGAAAGGAAGAGGATGCCAGTATTTAAAGGCCCAGTTACCATATTGGCGTTCTGATTCTCTCATAGTGCAACTGAAGTTGCCAGGGGTGCCTTTCCTAAGAGCTGTGGGAACTAAGTTGAGAAAGATAACTTGGCTTAAAGCCTGTTTCGTTGCCTTTGCTGACAGACATCCAATGGTAGGGGTAACAACAAGACATTGACAAAGAGGAAAAATAAAAGACCTTACTGACAGTTAGGGAAACCATTTGGATTCTGCATCAACAATGTGTATAGTCAAATGGATGATTCAATAAGTCACCAAAGGAAAAGGAAGAGCCTTCTCATTAGGTGTGCTTTCCACCAAGGCACTTGTGTGAACAAAACCTACATATATCTGCATATGGTCATTTACCAACACCCCTGCCACTCCAAGAAAGGGGGAAAGAACAAGGCAGGATATTGTGTTTGTTTGTTTTTTTTAATTTGATTTCTATAACACAGGAAGACATAAAGACAATGGGACAGGTGCTAGAAAAGAATGAAGCCAAAGAAAAGTTATTTTCCCCAACTGAGGAGGCAAGCTTCGATTAGTATTTGTCATTTTTAAACATTCAGGGTATTTTTGGTAAAAATTACTGAGGACGAAATGTCTTCTTGTGGGTTTTTTGATAGAAGGATTATGGAATTTAAAGTAGAGAAGTACCTTAGAAATCATTACCTAATTCTCTCATTTTGCAGATGAGACCAAGGCCCATACAAGTGAAGTGATTATGCCATGATTACACACATACTTAGTGAAAGGGCTGGGATCTGAACCTAGGTGCTTAGACTCCAAATCCCATACCATAGATACACACTCAAAACGTACATTCCATCCATGAAGCTGGGGGTGGTGGTGGTGGTATATAGCTTCACCTTGTACAATGAGGATCACAGTTGCTGAAAAAGCACAAAACTATGACTGTTTCAGTGCCATTTCCTCCATGAGCCCAAGCCAAATTTTGGCTTACCAATTTGACAAAATAGTTTATGATAGGAAAGTCATCTACATTATCTCCTAAATCTTCCATACACTAGGAGAGGAAGCAAGTTATAATGGATAGTGGACTGACCTTGGAGGCAGAAAGACCTGGGTTCAAATCCTGCTTCAGGAATGAGCTTTGTGTGTGACTATCAGCAAGTCATGTAATCTCTTTCTGCCTCAGGCAATATTCTAAGACCTTATGGACCAATTACCATAGGAATTTCTGGACTAGGGTCTACAAAGTACCACCTACACCATGGATGAAAACAGGTCCAGACCAAAAAACAAAAGAAACTTATTCTAGACATTATGAAATATGGAAGCAGTAGATAAAGAAACTAAGGGCCAGGCTAAGCACTAAACAGCTTTGGTGGGATCTGTTGTCAGTGGGGTTGCAGGAGTTATTAAGTCATCTGGGTGCCCCAAACCATCAATGCAAGGACATTATTGCCCTCCATTCCTCCAGGAAGACTTTCCTTATTTCAGAGGGATTTGAGTTTTGTAGAGATGGTCCTGGGAAACAGGCAACTTAACTTGAGGAGAAGATAAATCCTTTGTCTCATTAAAGTTCATGTCTTTTGGGAATATAGGGAATTCTTAGACTCTAGGTAAATATTTCGCAGGATTGGCTGGAGTGATGGAGTGCATTGTTGTCTGTCCTTTGTTCTTGAAGAGGACCATGACATCAGGAAGGTGATAGAATGTCTTGCAAGTGAGCTGGATTTAAGTGAAGGAGGGCTGTGCAAAGTCACCAGCCTCACTTTCTCCTCCAGAGCCATATGGGTCCAGTGGCAAGATATAGATCAGGATGACTGGAGATGGCCCCCAGCATAGGGTAACCTTGGCTCAAGCACTGCTTGAATTATCAGCCCTTCTCAGGTACTTCACCAATGTAGAGCAAGTTCTAAGACCATCAGCAAGTTTCCACAGGGACTCTTTAAGAGAAGAGATGATAAAAAATGCTTTAAAGAAGAATTGATGGGTTCTTGGGAAGAATAAGTGTCTTGACAAAATTTTTGGATCATAGATCTGGAGTCTAGAAGGGGGCTTAAAAGCCATCCCATCACAGATGATTTTATTAAGAGCTTATTGTGTGTACTGCTCAAGGCACTATGAATACAAAGAAAACAATGAAATAGTTCCTACCACCCAGAAGCTGCAATTCTGTTAAAGTAGACATACATATCTAAAAGTATATGCCCAATGAATATAAAGTCAAGGGAGAGGACACACCCGGGGGGTGTGGGGGTCAAGAAAGCTTTATGTAGGAAATAGAACTTGAAGTCAGGTGTGGTGACTCATACTTGTAATCTTTGTTGACAGGAGGCTGAAACTGGCGGATTGCTTGAGTTTGGGCATTCTGAGCTAGGGGAAAGGAAATGCATTTATATAGTATCTATTATATGACAGACACTGTGCTAAACACTTCTTACAAATAATATCTACAATACTAAACACTTTTTACAACTATTATCTAAGCTGATTGGGTGTCTGCACTGTGTCTGGAGCAAATATGACAAACTCCTAGGACCAGAAGGCCACCAGGCTGCCCATAGAAGAGTAAATCAGTCCAGGTAGAATGGAGTAGATCAAAGTTACCCTGCCAATCAGCAATAGGATCAGGCCTGTAAGTGGCCTCTGCAGCCTCCCTCTGCAGTCTTTTTTTGTGATACTTGAACCGAGTTTTGAAGGAAAAAAGACATTCTTAGAGGCAGAGGTGAAGAGGAAATGAATTCCAGGCATGATAGACAACCAGTGAAAAGGCACTTCCCATTAAGATCACCTTCCATTTGC